ACAGGGGGTGACAAGGGGTGACATGGGGTTTCAAAGGATTATACAAACTTTTTTCTAACTAGAACGTTCCGAGATACTTTTTCTTGGTCTATTTTGCATAAAAATCAAAGTTGAAGAAATCTCAAATTTTTGACCAAAACGATGGAAAAATTCTCATTTTGCGTTGTTCATAAACATTTTTTTTTATAGTCTTTAAAGGCTTCTTTTTTATCTAGAACGTCAGCAAACACTTTTTCTCAATCTATTTTTGATAAACACAAAACATGAAAAAACTTCAACAATTTGACCAAAATCATGGACTATCCCGTGTGCAAAAATGTCAATTTTGCCTTCTTTTTAAATCCATGCTTATATTGTCTAGAAAGGCTTGTTTTCTAACGAGAACGTCAGCAAATACTTTCTCTGGGTTTATTTTTTGAAGCAGTGTAGCCGGATTTCAGTCTTCTGAGTTCTATTGTAGGGTAGGATTACATTCCCGCTTAATGACTCTTGAATTTAACAGAGTTTTTTTTCTTTGGTTGTGTCCAAGGTGCTTGGATGCTGAATCACAAGCTACATGTAGTTATATTATGCCTTTTCTCGGTGAATGTGATGTTTACCTCTCTATGTTTTGTTGACTCAAAAATTCAAAAGATAATCTTGCTTGTTAAAAACCTTTTTGTCTGAAACAAGTTCCACTAAATACTCCGGAAGAGAAGGAGAAAAGGAAAGAGAAGTAGGAGGGCAGGAAAGAAAGCAAAAAGAGTAAGTCTAGTCTGCTGTGTCACTTTTAAGCCCAAAAACTATCTCGAAATTTTGCTTTCTGCGCATGCCCGAATTTGGGAAGCTAATGTTTTGCATCTGGATTAGAAGACTGCGAAGTGTACGATCTGTAAACGGTTTTTGCGTACGTTTAAGCTCTCTATAGCCAGACAGAGATTAGGAAATTGCGCTACTAGCTTCAAAGCGCTGCGGTTTTTGGCAAAATTCCCAGGGGTATATTGCTCAGTTTCGTGTACAGTCTGTTCTCTCTTTTATGGCGGCGATTTAAGTTCAAACCGAGGTGACATGAGAAAGTTGGGCTTTGCTTTGAACAATTCTTTCTGATGAAACACTTAAGTGGGACAGCATCTCGGTACTTTAGCCCTTAAGGAGGCTATCTCACGGTATTTGTTATCTTTTTTTTAAAAGGCTCAATCTTTTTTCGCATTAATTGAACCCGAGTCAAGTTTGTAGGCATGCCAGCGATAGAGGCCGGAATAACCAAAATGTTGCCGGTCAATTCTGTTCTTCTATGGAAAAGTACGTATCCTAGGCGGTACCCGCAACCGTTTCGCAGGTAGGTCGGCATCATACGAGAACTAGTGTTTACAGAAATTGCGCCGAAATCACTGTTGTTATGCCGGTGATCAGAAGCCCTTTCGTGCCGGAGCAAAAGTTACCCGGTTTGGTGTGAACATAGCTTCATTCACCTTGATACATAAATGCTATTAAATGCGTGAATCATAATGAATGCGGGAAAAAAAACTTCACTTACCTCGCTCAAATGGGCGTTGTAATTCCTTCGCTCCTGCAAGAGTACTTTAGTTGGCACGCAGTTCCTTTGACGGCTCCAAATCCAGACCTTGGACTGCTGACAACATAAGCCGCAGAACATTTGTTTGCACAGACTTTAACATAACTCGGCGGCTGATCGTTTGTAACGAGAACATTAACACTGCCAGTTATGGCGTACAGTTCTGTATTTCATAAGACAGGTGAGGTACTCTCCAGACCGCAGGCTATGCTTATCGTCGCGGTGATCTTTCGTCACGTTGAACACAATCTTCTCTCCGCTGTGTGCATGTTGAATTCGACCAGTGAACGATTCCTGTTGCGGCACCAATGTCGGACGAGGGCCGAAAAATGGTTGCCAACGAATACAGCTTTATAATTCCTCTCTTTCCTCTGATGAAACTAAATTTACACCAAATGATACTCAACACAATTTCGAAATGTGCACCGCTGGAACTATCAGTAAAGATTTACATTTTACTTCATTACCATACGAATTGACGTAAAAAGTCCCATATGCACGGACGTCACGGGCACGCTGTTGTCGAGAGCAGAGGCGAGAACTGGGAATTTCGATTTTCATGTAAATTCTTTCGAAAGAATTTTCTTGTGTTGACAACCAACCTGGCCGCTTTTTCACGTTGTTACAAATCGAGAACATTGTATTCAAAAGTGACAATTTTGTAGCCATATTAATAAACCAGAAGCGCGAGCTAATGAGGAGTACCCGAAAATTATGAACAAAGATTCGTCTAGCATAGACTGGGCGGTTCACCAAAATGTCGGAACAGAGCAAGCAAATTTCCCTAGACTTGATTTCTTGGGAACCGCTCTCAAGTTAAGAAAGAGAAATAAAAATTCGCGGTCGCTTGTTTACGTCCTCCATAAAGCGTGAATCGGGCATTTCCACGTGGTAGTCGTGCAGTGACGACAAAGAAATGTACAGTAAAGCGTGATGCACGAGCAAAGTTGTTGTTTTGCTTAACAAACCCATTGCCCTTTTTGCGTTCTCGTCAACAGACCAAAGAATACCTCTTTCTTTACCCTGCTTAACCAGTTAGGGCCTGTTTACGTGGAGGTGGGGGACCCCAGGTAGGTAAGGTAACCCGCTTAGGTGGGGTAACCCGCCTGTCCATATAATCTCCAATTCTAATTTGATCACGTTTATACGCCAGTCGCCAGACCGGGTAACCCTCTCAGCAGGGGTCAAATTTTGCCATCTGAACATTTCAAGGTGGAGTAACCCGCTTAGCCGGGGTCGGATTCGTAGCACATCAAATTCGCTCAAAATTCACTTTGACGGTGGCTTTGCATCATTATTAAAGGTAGCAATAGAAAGCCACAGCACTGAAGGTTGTAGCAACAACAGCAAGTGAGTGTAGAAGAGCATTAATCGCCAAAACACGTGGTTTGCCAGCATTTTTCTTGTTTACGTGCTTAGCGAGCATTCAATAATCTTGAGAAAGTGCACCCCGAGATGGCGGGGTTGTAAGATTGCATGTAAAGGAGGGTATTTTTTGTACCTCACCTGACCGGGTTATCTCATCTACCTGAGGTCGCCCACCGCCATGTAAACAGGCCCTTACTAGAATTTTTCATGATTTTTATGCAGTTGTTTTTGTAACTTTACCCATTCTTTCCCGTCTCACGCTCTATACCGGGCAGCAATTTACCATTTTCACTTTGCCCATCATGCCAGGGGCGTAGCTGTGCGCACAGCTGAAATCTAGAAAATATCCTTTTTTTATTTCCTGAAAGCATTTTTATTATTAAATCGAGATGATTGATAAATCTTTCGCATTACATTGGCGTCTTCACCCGTCTGAAGGGTAGACATCTCGCCCTTTGCTTGTAACCTTCTTGATGGCGTCAATGTTTTTCATTTTTTCCCGTAAACATTGCAACTTACCGATAACACTAGAGATCTAAATTAAACGACTAATAAATTCATTTTCCTTCGTATTTATTTACCGAAAATATCCTGCGGAGAACTCAGGAAATGGCCTTCCTGAGCCCGTAAATTTGAAACATTTTCTGGGGGAACATGCGCCTAGATCCTCCTAGTTTGCAGTACCTTCGGAGGTCCAACCTTTCTTTCCGTGCGTACACCTTCAAAACCTCACGGTACGCCCCTGCCCGGGGGGGGGGAGCACTCCCTATGATGGCCTATACGGGAAGGCTCCGCCCGAAAGGGGTATCTTTTTCAGGCTTCGGGTATATGAAACGGTAGGGATTTCACTAGTTAAAGGACATTAAAAGGTCGCTTCCCTCCCTCTCCGGAGGGAAATAAAGGGACCGCGAACGACCTAGGACGTCTGAGAATAAGGCTAGGAAATCTGTGGCCCCTGAGGGAAAACTTGGTATAAACATCTCCTGCGTGTTACAGTCGCCCCTAGAGAAATTGAAGAGGAATACGGATGCTTGTGCAAACGTTTGGAGTAAAAAGGTGTATTTAGGGCAATATGAAAATGGTGAATACTTATAGCAGAAAAATGTGGGGAAGACCAATCTGGGCGCAGCATCAGGCTTCCTTTGACCCCTACAAGAGACCATGAGCGCTTTAATACCACTTTTACGGAAACTTCAGTGAAAATTTTCCGTCAAATGGTACTGTTATTTTTTTTTTCGCACCGAAAACAGGAATGGTATTAAATTGTACTATTTGTGACCTTAAGATAAACCGTTTCTGCCTACGGGTACGGGAAGGTGACCATGTTTGCCACGCGGTTATATAAAAGGCGACCATTGTTTCCCGGATAACATAAGGTCGTTACCGTTCTACGCGGTACACCACCTGTTTCCTACCCGGCGTAAGAGGCAACCTACCCGTATTTACGACTACGCGTACGGGCCATCTACCAGTACCTATACACGGAAACGGTGTATCTTAAATACAAGGGAGTCACCTCACCCCTCCCCGGGTGAGTCACAACTAAAGAGAGTTTTAAACAAGACTTCCTTACAATATAGGGTATATCGAAGAAAAGATGCAACAGATTCTAGCAAAAATATTTTAATTGGGTAAAAACAGCCGTCTGGGATGTACGTTTAAAACAAATGTCAGATTAACAACGAGCGAACTAGATGATAAATAAATAAATCTGAGTAACGAAATGTTTGTCCACTGGATCCGCTGTATGATACAACTATTAATAATATAATTATACAGAAAAAAAAAATAATGATGTAATTTAAAAATTACATCATTATTTTTTTTTTCTGAAAATTGGTATTAAAAAAACTTTATTATTCAAGGAAAAGACATTTTTAACAACTTTTCCTTTTATTTAAAAATTGTTTTAGGCTTGAGACAAATTTAATCCTAAGCGACCGATAAGAAATTTTTGCAGACTGGACATGCATAAATTCTCTTTACAGCCTTTCCGGCAATTTTTCTTTCTTCACGCAATTTAAGATATCCTAAGAAGCTCGCGATATATAGAGCTCAGTAGAGCTGTTTCTTGTCCCTATACAAAGTAGTTTTTCCTTAAAAAGGACATATACTGTTTAGAGGAGGCGGAAAGAGGATCATACGATACGCTGTCCCTATCACTTAGCAGACTCGGCTTGAGATCGAGGTCGGATGTAATGGCAGCTGCGAAGAGAAATTCAGAAGCATCAAGGTACATTCTTAAAAACAACGCCTTATTACATCGCGTGAGAGCGTCCGTCTGCCAGTCTATCATTCCGGTATACCAGCTCCTAGAATACCTGTTATTGGACAGTTTTGTCACGGTTTAGGTTAATACTAATATCAATCACTTGGCTTTGCGAGCGCGGTGTTGAACAAACACAACGAGCGTGTGAAACCCTCCTACACCGCAGATTTCGATATTTGACACTTACAGGGGTAATGGTTTTTCTGAAAGTGGGCGGACGGAGGTATTCCAAAAAATGCTTACATATTATCCTCTTCTCTCTTCCCGCCTTTTTTTCGCTCGTCTCATTTTTCGATGCCTGCCAGCTTTTTCACTCGTCTGCACTGACCGACAGACACTCGTAGGTATTTGACTTTGTTTTCTCAGTTTTACTTATGAGGTTGTACTTACCGCTCTTCAAATGTCGCTTAATACTTTTGTTGAGTTCATTTTCTACAGCCTTCATTAACTGCCCGTCTCCCTGCAAAAATCAATCAATCAATAAATCAATCAGGAGTATTCAGCATTCTATAGAAGCCTCTCTCAAAGTAAAACGCTATTCAAACAAGAGCTGCAAGAGTTGTAATTAAGTTCTTGTTCGCGCGCAATATTTTGAAGGTCATACAAAAAAATACTGTGGCATAACGCTGTAATCCTAGCGTGTGCAACTACAATCACTTTTCATTACCTTCGAGTGCATTCTATCGGGACTTTTGTCGGGTGAGCCGTACAGACCGCCCAGAGAGTCTGATATTAAGGGCTGCGGAGAGGGACCACGTTGAAAACCATCAAGATTCCTCCGTGATCTTTCGAGACTACGAACACAACAATGCAAGAGTTAATCTACAGAAGCGACCTTTTAACAAGTTCTCCCAAAGCAACCAATTCCCCTCTAACAATACTAGAATCCCAGGCCTACCGTCCACCCTATTGTCCAACAAACACTAAGACGTTTTCAGTGTTTTTCGAGGACCCAAGTTTCTAAATTCACTTGACAAAGAAGGCATCAACTTTCTATCCCTTTCCTCATTTATGAAATTAATAAGTGCATATGAAAAACAATCATATCTTTTCCACACTCAACTTAACGCCGTCTCTTGCTTCACTTGATGTAAAAAGCTACAGACCGTAGGTGGAGCACGCTTAATCTCTCATAAGCTCCTATAGTTTCTGTTAGGTCTCCTCGCCACTACACCTTTTTTCTACTTATCTTATGTTATTTGTATTTTTACACGTGTGTGGCAAATAAATAAATAAATTGACTTTAAAATAATGCTGCCATTCTTTGGATGAACTTAAGGCTAAAATCATATACGATTTCGAAAAACCCCCTTCTTCAACTAGTTAGTGAGTATCCATCTTACCGGAATAATCTGTTAATTAGCAGGTCTATTATTATTGTGCGTATTACTACAACTGTTGTATTATATTCTTTCTCGTCTTTATGTAATTTCGATCCAATCTGTAATATCGTTATATACTTTTTTTTTAGTTTTAAATTTTGCAACTGTAATATGTGTTTTGTCAATAAACGTAAAATTATATTTAAAAAAAAAAAAGAAAAAAAATGCTGCCAAGGCAGCGTGCCTGAGTGATCCAGGCGACAGACTTGTAACCCGGGGAGACTGGGTTCAAGTGCCGCTTTAACCCGCCACTAGGTGGACCCGGGGCCCGTTTCTCGAAAGTCTTGGTCCCGATTGTTCAAGAGGTGGTTTTCGTATCGGCTGGATAACGATTTATCCGGTGGAAAGCGTTACCCAACTATTGAGCAACCGGGGCCTGGTGATTACCGGCCTCGTAAACCTGTTTTGTTTACATGTTTACATTCAAGATCGAGGTGCCAAACGTTTTGGAGATAACATGATAAGACTATCAGTTACCAAAACAAATGAACCGGTTTGTGAAATAAAGTTCCGCGCTTTTATCAATAAGATTTTACTTTTAATATCATAGGTGACGAATTACCCCTTAATTTTGGCGCGAAATTTCAGCGTTAATTTGTAATTCGACATGTGAAATTACAAATGTGCCATGGCAACTTCCGTACGTCTCAGTGTCAAGATGGCGACGAAGTTTTAAAATGCCCTGAATGAAGATATCAGGGCACAAAAAGACGCCTTGGAAAACCTGAACACACAAGAGAACATCAAGAAGGACTCTAAACAGGTATTTTGCCGAAAAGGTCTGAAAACTTCTGAACTTTATACGCCAAATTTAAGGTCTAAACATTTGAGAGAGTAGAGTTCTCGATCGATACGATCCAGGATAAACATGTCAAAAATCCAAGATTGCTAACGTAAATTCGTCACCCATGATATTAATAGGTAACCAAATGGTATACTCGTGAAATTAGGGAATAATTTCACTTGCGTTTTGTCCAAATCCTTATAATTTCCCGAGCCTTTAGGCGAGGGAGATTATTAGGATTTGGACAAAACGCGCGTGAAATTATTCCCTAAAATCACTCGTCACTATTTGATTACACATACTAATATTTGGTTTCGGGTCCCCGAATTACCGGGAATTTCGATAACGGGCAACTGAAACAACATGAGCGCTTCTACTATCAATTAAGCATGTAATTTTTACATCATATCTTTGCATAAACACACTGCACTAATTTTTCCAGGAGGGTGAAGTAAAGAACATCATGTAACAACTCACTTGAGCAAGGCTTGGGACTCCGCCATCTTCTCATTTGCTTTATACAAGCGGTTGGCGAGTTTGTCTTTAGATTTTAATTCACTCTGGTACAAATCCTTAAAAAACGCGAAACACACACTTTAGTTTACTCTTTATATAGAGCGGTTTCACATGACGTCACTCCAGTGATGTTCCAAAAAGCATAAAACTGCGGCCATGTTGCTGTCCCAGCAGTCCTGCGGTAGTTGAACCTTTTTTTAAGTAAAAACTTTCTTTTTCGTCAATTAATATGCATTGCCGCCGGCCACTTGAAAGAAAAGGCTTATGTACATTTTAAGGTTAAAAATGATACCGTAAAAGGCAAAATAGATTAGGGAACAATACATCATTAAATGTGCGCGAATGGACAGCAGCATGATCAGTAAACCTTACCTTGTACCTCTTGGCTTCAGTATCAAAAGTTTCTTTTGTGTTTGGCTCTCATGCAAACCTGCGCGCATTTTAGCAACATCAGTAAACGCTAACGTCAATTGAAATGCACGCAGTTTTTCAAGTGGCCAAAAAATTGATATACTTGTGCAGAGTGCCCTCATTGATAAAAGGAAAGTTTTAACCAAATCAGGTACAGTTCTGAAGAGATCGGTAATTCATATACGTGACGCCTCCTGCGTTTTACAGCGATTGGTTTCAGATATGTTAATTCTCTATTCCACATTTTCTCATCGCCCATAATGTACCATGTTCCCCCCCCCCCCCGCCTCACCCCCACACCAAAAATACAGGAAAATTGTAAGGGGCGATTGTAATAACCAGGGACACAGTGCATCGCGGGCTATGTGAAAATAATGGATGCGCCACACGGATGGCCTAATTCAATTTGACGCGTCTCGGCTATTAGCTCAGAGGAGAGGACTGCGATAGAAACTAAGAAATCAGCAACTTTGAGCCCAAGAGATTCTTGTTTTACCCGCAATGCGACAATTCTCAATGAAATATTAAATTTGGGGATCTACCCACCTTTAAGCCTGATATGGTCATCTCTAACTGCTTTTATGTCTTCGATTCGTTCTCTTCCCGCATTTTGTCGAGTTTCTCTCGGGCAACGGCCTAAAGAAAATGAGAAACAAAATTAAATATCTTGAGAATTCATTTCGAAATCAAATTCTCAACTGCCTTTCGTGCGATGTCATTTAAACTGTCACCTAATGAATACTCTAGCGAAATTATGCAATCGTAATTTAACCGGTTCCAAAGTTTGATCAACCCGAATAAATTAAGGCACCCTCTCATATATCGTGCCAAAAGACTAACAACGACCTTGAGATATAAACACAAGTTAAGGCTCCAGTAGGAAATTGGGTAATATTCAACCTTACACTTGTAAACCGATAACTGTGTTCACTAGCGATTTCAATGAAGAAGGTGTCCACACATCAAATCAAGTTCACAATAAATCAATCAAGTTTACAATAAACTAGATCATTCATCCAGCAAAAAATGTAGAGGCAAATTTATACCTGCTCTTCTAAATGGGCGTTGACTTCTACCAATTTACGATTCAATTGAAATCGTGACTATTAAAAACACAAAGGAAATAACACTACATAAATATGCTATGAAAACAACTCAAAGGCCGCAAAGAGCAATATATTTACTAGCCTAAATGATCTAGTAGCCACGCAGTGCGGTTAATTTATTTCTGGGAGCCCAACCAGGGGCGTGTAATGGGTAGCAGACATTAAAAAACAGAGAGGCAAACTTCACAAAACTAATTTGCTTTCCGCAATTATAACACCGCAGTGTATACACAGCAGACTAGCCAGTCTATCCACTAATGTCTCTAAGGCGTTCACAGATCCATATCCGTTTTTAAAACCTTAACTTCGATGTCAGAATCCTGCTCATCCCCGGTGTAAAACCTCAGCGAACTATAGATCCATCGATCTACCGATCCAGCGATCTATAGATCCATCGATCTACCGATCCAGCAATCTATAGATCCATAGATCTACGGATCCATCGATCTACCGACCCAGCGATCTACCGATCCAGCGATCTATAGATCCATCGATATACCGATCCAGCGATCTACACATCCATAGATCTACTGATCCAGCAATCTACAGATCCAGCGATTTACGGATCCATCGAACTACCGATCCAGCAATATAGAGATCCAGGGATCTACAGATGCAGCGATCTATAGTTCCATCGATCTACCGATCCAGCGCTCTACCAATCCAGCGATCTACCGAACCAGCGATCTACAGATCCATCGACCTACCGATCCATCGATCTACAGATCCAGGAATAAGATAAGAGATAATCTTTATTTATTCACGGTACAAAATTCGTCAGCTTTAAAAATGCCTAATACTAATATAATAAAAATATTTAAATAAAAAAGCTGCTTTCCACGAATGCCGTGCCTTACAGTTCTTTGAGTAATCGTTTAAATTGCCCAAGGGACTCTGCTTCCCTTAAGTTACAAGGAAGACTGTTCCAGAGAATGGCGCCACTATAGCTGAAGCTGTTTTTGTAATAGTTTGTGCGCGGTAATGGAATATTGAGTTTATTTTCAGAGTCCCTTAGGTTATATGCGACTTCTCGCCTTTCAAATTTAGAACTAAGATAGTTTGGAGCCAACCCGTGCAGAGACCTGTAAACCATCGTAGCTCTTTGAAATTGTTGCTGGCAAGCTAGGTTTTTCCACCCTAGAAGTTTGAAAAGGTGACCAGCATCTACGTCATAGCTTGAGTAGGTCAAAACACGGGCTGCTCTGTTTTGTAGCTTTTGAACCTTATTCCGTAAGGTTATCCCACAGTTTCCCAAACAATGTTGCAATAATCAAAGTGTGGCTGTATTAAAGCTTGATATACTAGTTGTAAGGTCGCCTGAGGGACAAGGTGCCTTATTCGTTTTATGGCCCCAATACCAGAAGCGACTTTCTTTGTTACTTTCTCGATATGGCCACTCCAATCAAGTCTGTCATCGATGGTCACTCCAAGTGATTTTGCAGTAGTGACCTGGCTAACTTCAAAATCATTAATTGCAAATGTCGGGGACTCTGTGAGAGTACTTAGCCTCTGCCTAGATCCGATAAGCATAAATTCGGTTTTAGTCATATTTAGAGTAAGTTTGTTTGCTCTCAGCCAATTGTGAACATTTTCTAAATCTTGATTTAGATGCAACTGAATATTGTCTGCATTATCACCTGCGTACGTAAGGTGGGTGTCATCAGCGTACATCCTCGGCTCACAGTTTGAAAGACAGTTTGGAAGATCGTTGATGTATAACAGAAATAATAATGGACCTAAAATCGTCCCCTGGGGTACACCACAACTTAATAAACAGCTTTGAGAGAGCGATCCGTTGATGGAGCACATTTGAATACGATTCTCTAAATACGACTTAAACCATTGGTGCGCGTTACCATATATGCCGTAATTGCTTAATTTTGATAAAAGGATCTCATGGTCAACTGTGTCGAAGGCCTTTTGAGATCTAAGAAAACAACGGCGTTGATTTTACCGCGGTCAATATTGTACGCCCAAGTGTCCGTGGCCTCAAGGAGAGCCGTGACAGTTGAGTGAATAGCGCGAAAGCCTGATTGATATTTACAGATTATATTGTGCTCTTCTAGGTAGGCATATAATTGATCATAGACGATTCTTTCAAAGACCTTGGCCATAACTGAGATCACCGAAATTGGACGATAATTGTTTAAGTCGTCCCGATCGCCTTGTTTAAAAAGTGGGGTGACCTTTGCGCATTTCCAGTCATCCGGAAATATGCCTTGACTTATTGACTGGTTAAAAATATCACGGATAGGAATGCAAATGAGATCTGCACATTCCCGAATGAGCCTAGCAGATATCTTGTCAAGGCCAGCTGCCTTTGACTTGTTTAGACGATTCAAAAGTGAGAGAACTTTATTTGTACTGGTCGGATGGAGCTGAAACCGTTTATCCGTGCCAGTGAGGTACTTTTGATAACCATCACTATTTGAGGAATCAATATTGCTAGCAAGTTCTGGACCGATAGTAGCAAAGTGATTATTAAATTGGTTCGACAGCACAGTTGGATTTGTTATTGATACTCCATTTACTTTCAGAGATGTCACCGATTTTTTCCCAGATTTTCGCGAAGTAAGTTCATTGATAGTCTGCCAGGTCTTTTTAGAATCGCCCGTATGCTTGTTAAAACTATTTTGATAATAGGCTTGCTTGGCTAATCTGATTTCGCTATTTACTTTATTGCGTTGTTTTTTAAAAAGTGACCAGTCATTTGAATCATTCGATTTACTTGCTTTAATCTTTAGAATATCCCGATCATGCATTCGTTTGTTAAGCTCAGATGTAATCCATGGGGAACTACGCGTGCGAACACGCATTGTCCTCAAGGGAGCATGCTTGTTAACAATAGATAGAAACGAGCATTTCCATTGTGGCCACATTTGATTGGGATCAGTTGAATTGTATATGTGATCCCAACAATGAGATGCAATATCATTCCGAAAATTTATTCGATTAAATTTTCGAAAGTTTCTGTAGGTTATAGCATTGTGCCCACCAGACATTCCATTCACGGATAATTTTCGATAGGCAAAAACTATGCTATGATCGCTAATACTGATATGACGAACCCCCGAACACACAACTTTATCTGGACAATTAGTATAGATTACATCAATCAAAGTTGCAGAAGTCGGAGTTATTCTGGTTGGTTCAGTGATAAGCTGCTGTAGACCATAAATATCAGTGATATTCATTAATTTGCATGTATTATTGTCATATCGAGTAGCAATCATGTCGCAGTTAAGGTCTCCCATTAGAAAATATTCAATATTTTCGGAATCGAGTTTCCCAATTAAAGTTTCGAAAGGTGAAAAAAATACCAATATGAGAATCAGGTGGTCTATACCACGTGGCAACAACAAACGGTTTAGATCTAGGTTTTTGAATTTCCAGACATAGATTTTCAAGAGTGTCCATGTTTAAATCATTTCGTATGGTAAAATTTATTGAACTTTTCACATAGAAACACA